TATGAGTCTGTTTTTGTGCCAGTACCATACTGTTTTGATGACTGTAGCTTTGTATCATGTTTTGAAGTCTGGGTGTCTGATTGATTCCTCCAGCTCCATTTTTCTTTCTCAAGATTTCTTGTGCTATTCGGGGTCATTTGTGTCTCCATACAAATTTTGGTGTCAGGGTGATGGTGGCCTCATAGAATGAATTTGGGAGTGTTTCTTCCTCTGCAGTTTTTTGGAAGAGTTTCAGAAGGATAGGTGTTAACTCTCCTGTAAACGTTTGATAAGGTTCACCAGTGAAGCCATCTGATCCTGGACTTTTGTTTGTTGGAAGATTTTTAATCACAGTTTTAATTTCAGTACTTGTGATTGGTCTGTTCATATTTTCTATTTCTTCTTGGTTCAGTCTTGGGAAATTGTATCTTTCTAAGAATTTGTCCATTTCTTCTAGGTTGTCCATTTTATTGGCATATGTGTGTTCATAGTAGTCTCTTATGACTCTTTGTATTTCTGTGGTGTCCATTGTAACTTTTCCTTTTTCATTTTATTAACTTGAGCCCTCTCCCTCTTTTTCTTTTTTTTTTTTTTTTGGTACGCGGGCCTCTCACTGCTGTGGCCTCTCCCGTTGTAGAGCACAGGTTCCGGACGCGCAGGCTCAGCGGCCATGGCTCCCGGGCCCAGCCGCTCCACGGCATGTAGGATCTTCCCAGACCGGGGCACGAACCCGTGTCCCCTGCATCGGCAGGTGGACTCTCAACCACTGCACCACCAGGGAAGCCCCTCCCTCTTTTCTTGATGAGTCTGGCTAAAGGGTTATCAATTTTATCTTTTCCAAGAACCAGCTTTTAGTTTCATTGATCTTTTCTATTGTTTTCTTCATCTCTGTTTCATTTATTTCTGCTCTGATCTTTATGGTTTCTTTCCTTCTGCTAATTTTGGGTTTTGTTTGTTCTTTCTCTAGTTGCTTTAGGTGTAAAGTTAGTTGTTTATTTGAGATTTTTCTTGTTTCCTGAGGTAAGATTGTACTGCTGTAAACTTCCCTCTTAAAACTGCTTTTGCTGCATCCCGTAGGTTATGGATCGTCGTGTTTTCATTGTCATTTGTCTCCAGATAGCTTTTGATTTCCTCTTTGATTTCTTCTGTGACCCGTTGATGTTTTAGTAACATATTGTTTAGCTTCCCTGTGTTCGTGTTTCTTACAGTTTTTTCCCTGTAATTGATTTCTAATCTCATAGCGTTGTTGTCGGAAAACATGCTTGATATGATTTCAACTTTCTTAAATTTACTGAGGCTTGATTTGTGGCCCAAGATATGATCTATCCTGGAGAATGTTCCATGTGCACTTGAGAAGAAAGTGTATTCTGCTGCTTTTGGATAGAATGTTCTATATATATGTGAATTAAGTTCATCTGGTCTGATGTGTCATTTAAGGCCTGTGTTTATTGATTTTCTTTCTGGATGATCTGTCTGTTGATGAATGTGGGGTGTTAAAGTCCCCCACTATTATTGTGTTATTGTCAATTTCTCCTTTTATGGCTGTTAGCATTTGCCTTATATATTGAGTTGCTCCTATGTTGGATGCATATATATTTACAGTTGTTATATCTTCTTCTTGGACTGATCCCTTGATCATTATGTAGTGTCCTTCTTTGTCTCTTGTAACAGTCTTTATTTTAAAGTCTATTTTGTCTGTTATGACAAAAGTAGCAAAAAGTATTGCTACTCCAGCTTTCTTTTGATTTACATGGAATACCTTTTTCCATCCTCTCACTTTCAGTCTGTATATGTCCTTAGATCTGAGGTGGTTCTCTTGTAGACAGCATATATATCAGTTTTGTTTTTGTATCCATTCAGCCAGTCTGTGTCTTTTGGTTGGAGTATTTAATCCATTTACATTTAAGGTAATTATCGATAATGTGTTCTTATTGCCATTTTTGTTAATTGTTTTGGATTTGTTTTTGTAGGTCTTTTTTCTTCCCTTCCTCTTTTGTTCTCTTGTGATTTGATGGCTATCTTTCGTGTTGTGTTTGGATTGCTTTTTCTTTTTTGTGTGTGTCTATTGTAGATTTTTGGTTTGTGGTTCCTGTGAGGTTCTGATACAGCAGTTTATATATATACAAGGTTGTTTTAAGTTGCTGGTCTCTTAATTTCCAGTACATTTCCAATATCCTGCATTTCTACTCTCCTCTTCTCGTATCATATTTGTGTGTGGATGATTTCCTGCCGTTACTTTAAGTTTGCCTATGCCCGTGAGATTTTCCATTTGTAATTTTCTTATTTCTACTTGTAGCCTTTTCTTTTCTGTCTAGAGAATTTCCTTTAGCATTTGTTGTAAAGGTGGTCTGGTGGTGCTGAATTCTCTTAGCCTTTGCTTGTCTCTGAAGCTTTTGATTTCTCCATCAAATCTGAATGTTGTATCTGAATGAGGGCATTGCTGGGTAAAGTATTCTTGTAGTAGGTTTTTCCCTTTCATCACTTTAAATATATTGTGCCTCTCCCTTCTGACTTGCAGAGTTTCTGCTGAAAAATCTGCTGATAACCTTATGGGGATTCCTTTTTATGTTATTTGTTCCTTTTAATATTTTTACTTTGTCTTTAATTTTTGTCAGTTTGATTAATGTGTGTCTTGGCATGTTCCTCCTTGGGTTAATCTTGTATGGGACTCTCAGCGCTTCCTGGACTTGAGTGAGTGTTTCCTTTCTCACGTCAGGGAAGTTTTTGGCTATAATCTCTTCAAATATTTTCTCAGGCCCTTTCCCTCTCTCTTCTCCTTCTCAGACCCCTATAATGTGAACGTTGGTTCATTTAATGTTGTCCATTTCATTTATGGACATTTAATGTTGTCCCAGAGGTCTCTGAAATTGTCCTAATTTCCTTTCATTCTTTTTTCTTTATTCTGTTCTGTGGCAGTGATTTCTACCACTGTCACTTATTTTGTTCTTCTGCCTCATTTTTTCTGTTATTGATTCCTTCTAGTGTAGTTTTCATTGCAGTTATTGTATTGTTCATCTCTGTTTGTCCTTTAAATCTTCTAGCTCTTTGTTAAACATTTCTTCTTGTCTTCTTGGTCTATGCCTCCGTTCTTTTTCCGAGATCTTGGATCATCTCTACTATTGTTACTGTAAATTCTTTCTCAGGTAGATTGCCTGTCTCCACTTCACTTAGTTTTTCTTTTTGGTTCTTATCTTGTTCCTTCTTCTGGAACATATTTCTCTGCTGTCTCATTTTGTCTGACTGTATGTGTTTGTGTCTCTGTTTCTCAGGCTGCAGGACTGTGGCTCCTCTCGCTCCTGGTGTCTGCCCCCTGGTGGATGAGGTTGGTCCTGGGGCTTGTGCAGGCTTCCTGGGGGGAGGTGCCTGCCCACTGGTGGGTGGAGCTGGGTCTCGTCCCTCTGGTGGGCAGGTTCATGTCAAGTGGTGTGTTTAGATGTGGCTGTGAGCTCAGTATGGCTTTAGGCAGCCTGTTTGCTGATGGTTGGGGCTGTGTTCCTGTCTCACTGGTTGTATGGTCTGAGGTGTTCTAGCACTGGAGCCTATAGGTTGTTGGGTAGGCCTCGGTCTTGGTGCCAAAATGGCGACCTCCTGGAGAACTCAGGCCAATCAGTATTCCCTGGGACCTCTGCCACCAGTGACCTTGCTCCCATAGTGAGCCACAGTCAACCCATGCCTCCCCAGGAGACCCTCCAAAACCCACAGGTAGGTCTAGCCCAGGTGTCTACGGAGTCACTGCTTTGCGCTGGGTCCCAGTGCATGTGAAATCTTGTGTGCACCTTCCAAGACTGGAGTCTTTGTTTCCCCTCGTCCTATGGAGGTCCTGCACTTAAGCCCTGCTGGTCTTCAAAGCCAAATGCTCTGGAGGTTCCTCCTCTTGTGCCAGACCCTCAGGCTGGGGAGCCTGACCAGGGGCCCAGAACTTTAACTCTTGTGGGAGAACCTTGCGCTGTAATTATTTTCCATTTTGTGGGTTGCCCACCCGGCGGATATGGGATTTGCTTATATTGTGAAAGTGTCCCTCCTACTGTCTTGTTGTGGCTTCTTCTTCGTCTGTGGATATATTGTAGCAAACTGTCTTTTTTGGTAGGCTCTGATCTGTTTTTGTTGGTGGTGGTTCAGCATTTCGGTGTGATGTTGGTGTTTCTGTGAGAGGAGGTGAGGTCAGGTCCCTCTACTCCACCATCTCGTCTGGAATCAAGGGCTGCTTTTAGTCTGGATGCTTGCTGCCTCGCTCCTCAGTGTGTGCTGGCCGTTATCCACTTGATACGGGCTGTGCAGGTGCGGTGGCCTGTGCGTGCTCCCGGTACGGCTGGGGCAGCCGTTGGCACCCTCTCCCATGTCTCCCAGTGGTGGCAAGCGGCCCGCGTGCTCCCGGGGATAGCGGGGGTGGCGACGGGAGCCCGCTCGTGGGTCTCTTAGTGGTGGTAGTGGCCTGTGCCTGCCTCTGGAGCCCGTGATGGTGGTGTCGGCTCGTGCCCGCCCCCAGTGCTTGTGTAGGCTGTGTCCTGCTGCCTTGGAGCGCGTGTAGGGAAAGACGCCCCTGTGGTTTTCCCACCCCTCCCCCCAACAGTGGTGCCTTGCCGTCTCTCATGGGCCCAGGCTTCTTCTGAGTGCAGCCTCAGCTGCCATTCTCCAGCCTCTTCAAGGTGTCTTCACACAGCCAACCCTGGTCCTTTCCCGGGACTGTCTCTGAAGCCCAAGCTTCAGCACCCAGCACCCCACCTCCCCATACTGGCAGTTGCAGGAAACTTTCCTTCTGCACAGCTCCCTCTCAGGGCCGCAGGTCCAGTCCTGATTCCTTTCTCTCTCTCTTTTTCTTTTTTCTTCTGTCCTGGCTGGTTATGTGGAGGTTTTCTGGCCCTTCTAGAAATCTGAGGTCTTCTGCATTTTCATGCAGTAGATGTTCTGTGAGAATCGTTTCACTTATAGATGTATTTCATGTATATATTTGTTTATATACATTATATTTAAAATGTTCACTTGCTCTTGCGATACTCATCATCGATCACACCTGTCTTTAGGCAGTGGAGCTGCTGAAGCCGGGGGGCGTGCTGGTGTATAGCACGTGCACTGTCACCCTAGCAGAGAATGAAGAACAGGTCGCCTGGGCCCTCAAGACATTTCCTCACCTTCAGCTTCAGCGCCAGGTGAGGGCCATTGCCGTTGTCTCTGGGTGATCCGGTAAGTCGTGGAAACTTAAGCATGTTGATAAACACAGAGAGTGATGTGAAGAGACGCGGTGCACGAGGTTTCTCTAATGAGAGCTGTTCCAGACCGCCCTTAGAGGAATTTCACATCCTGACCCAGTGTTTCCAGGCCGTCACTGTCTGCGGTTGTGTTAAGATGCCACAGAGCTCAGGGGTTTTCTGTCACATGTTTACTTGACTTGTGGCTCTTGTTCGTGTTACTCAGAATTTTGTTTCTAAAACCCTTCCTCCACCCCTCGGTCCTATAACTTTTCTGATAGGGCAAATGTTGAGCAGTTTTCTAATATCACACCAAAGCCCAAAGAGGCTTTAATAACTGGGATGTCAGAAGACTAGCCAAGGGGGGAAATGGTTCAGGATTATTGCTTCCTTCTGGATCCTTATATAAGATAGGGGACATTTCAAAAGGTGTCTTGTACTTTATTTTACCTAGCACTGTCTTTCCGTTCTGGTTTTTATTAAAACTATATTTATGACTAGATTTTTTAGCCCATGATGTTTGAGATTAGGTTTAAATCTGTGGTAATGCTCACATTCATTCAGATAAACTGAACATCTAATGTCAGTTGTTCCAGTACAGAATTCTAGTAAGTAATTGGAATATACAGACAGAAGGCAATCTAGAGATGGTTTCTAGACTCAGAAATTAAGATAAGTGCATTGTAGATGAAAAGGAGACTTGAGAATTCACTTGAATTTGATGTGTGTGTATATACATATACACTCAGTATCTACCTAAAAGAGATGGAACTCCCCCCCACACACATGGGTTAATAAACAACAGGTTTTCAGATATAAACCTAAGAACATATATCTTCAGTAACACAAGCATTTGTGAAATGGTGACTTACGTTAGGCTTAGGCATCTTTTGTAGTAGTGGTTTGCACAGATCACTCAGTTCCTTATGATTCTGTATTCCTCTAAACTAATCGAGGCAGCCTTAGTTTTCTCGTCTCTTTTAATATTCTAGTACATTTAAAAACAACAACAAAAAAAGAGAACTTTTATCATCCAATAGGTGTGGGCCAGAGAGAGGCATCTTCAGATGCCCAAGAAACTCCTGTCAGTTTTGGGGAGTCTGACAAATAAAGCTGGGTTTTCATCTCCTGCTGTAACTGATAATAATGTTCCACTTGCTAAGTGCCCACTCTGTGCCAGGCCCGATACCACCCTACTTATTTAAGCCTCAGATCAGAGTATTTCACCTGTTTCATAGATGAGGAAGCAGGTAAGGTAAGTTACTTTCCTAAAGTCGCACAGCTAAGCTGTGGCAGAGCTGTGATGTGAATCCACGTGCTTCTAAGTGTGGAGCCCAGGTCTCCTGCATGTCGTGGGCCTTGATAAGCATAAGGGCCATCCTAGGGACTCAGTCGTCAAGTGGCTGCATGTTACCACCCTCCCACTTTACTACCCGGAAAAGCAGCATGTCCATTTCACAAAAATAAAAGGTGTTTACTCATTTTTCTGTTTCTGGAATTGGTGGTAGTTACAGCTCAGTTTGTCCTTTTGCGTAAATGGCGCACAGGCAGACTTCCCAGCGCGAGGACGTTTGTGTTTATTTGTCTCCCCGAGCAGGACCCACAGGTTGGAGGAGAAGGGATGCTGGGAGCTGGCCTGTCATCTGAGCAACTGAAACGGCTGCAGCGATTCGATCCCTGTGTGGTGCCGTCACAGGACAGTGACACTGGTTCTCTCAGAGACGCCAGGATAGAAGACACGAGTTGGCTCGCAAATAAGGATTGTATAGGCTTTTTCATTGCAAAATTTGTAAAATGCAGAAGCACGTAGGAGAAGGATCCTTAGAAATGAAAGTTCCAAACATTTTCCGTTTTTTTTAAACCAAAAACTGTTGTCAGGCCACGTGATTGATGCCGTGGTTGCTGAGGAAACAGAAAGGGCTGCCGGCTGTTCCACCAGGAATCAAGAGACTGTACTTCACAGAGGAAGTAGCCGGGGGGGGGGGGGGGAGGGGGGGCACTTGTGTGTCTAAAATACTTTTCCTTTATGGATTTAGCAGAGTATAAAGAAAAGGAGATGCCTGAAGATGTCTGGAACATTTCATTTGGGGTCTTTGTTTTAATTTGTAAAGAATGCAAGTCATTTTTAATGTTAAAATAAGTGGATTTAACAAAAGGAATAAAATTAGTGGTATTTAATTTGGTTATAAAACACGTTTTCCGTTATTGAGTTCCTTCAGAATTCAGGGTGTGGGAACTATAACTTATTTATCAAGTGCCAGGAACGTAGCTGGGGATTTCACCTGACTTTTTCTGTTTACTATTTGGTAAGTCAACCCTCTTTCAAATGAATTCTGGACTACTCCCAGTAACAGTCTCCCTTCACTATGTTGACGTTTTTTCTTCTGTCATATCTTAAACTAAAAACTAAAATGAATTTTTTTAAACTCTGTAGATTAAAAATGAGACTATTGCACAATTCGGGTACCTTTTAGCATCTAATGGAATACATACAAGTTCCTAGAGACGTGATTGGTGAGAAAACCATCTTGTGAGAGCTGGGAAGTGGCCAGGCGCTCACAGCTAAGCCTTGGTGTTCTCCCTCTGAACAGAAGCAGCTCCACAGAACACCTTCCCCAGACCAAGCAACTGTGACTAGGTCAAGACGAAACAAGACCACTTCACCATCAGACCTGAAATCCCCCAAACTGCAGAAGTGACCAAACATCACCCATGGCGGCCAATATAAGAGGGCGGCCTTTTTAAGATGAACTGTGTAACTGTAGGCTTGCTTTTCATCCTACCTGCTTTTTAGATAAAATATATTAAAATACCCAGCCATAGTTTAAAAGCTATCTCATGTTGTGTTAAATACATCTATTTTGTTAATTCAAATCACCTCAAAATGCCTGAGCCTCGGACAACTGCCTAATATATTTTTTTCCCTTCATAGGTCTCCATTAGGAACTTCTTGAAACTTCCTTGTTTCCCTGAAGAATGCTCATCTCATCTCAGATCAGGTGAGATCCTCAGAGGCCTCTGCTCTGAGGAAGCCTTTCTTGCACACCCTTCTCGGGGGCTGGGTCGGGCGTGTCTCCCTCTACACCCCTCGTGCCTCTGTCTCCTCCTGTCACGGCACTTGACACATCACTCTAGTGTACGAGGCATGCCCTGGACCGCTGCCCCCAGGCTTGGGAACATTCTGGAGGCAGGACTGTGCTTTCTGTACAGCTTCAGAGCAGATCATTGTTACACGCTTATTGAACGAGGGAAAAACCCCATCAGGCTCCCTAAGATTCAGACATGTGACTGACTTCTTTCCGTCTCTCATTCTGCCTGATAGCCAGTAGATGTCATCTGCCTAAAGAGAAACACTGTTGACCTGTGGTACTTCTGCTTCTAGGGCTCGGCATACTTCCTTGAACTTTCAATATGTTTTTGAAAAATACACAAAATCCATCCTTTCTCATGCTCTCTGCAGAGCCTTAGGTGCTAGGCTGGGATGGAAATGGTAGGGAAGGAGCCTAGTAGCAAATGTGTAAAGTTTTGATTAATACCAATAAATATCAAAATACAAGCAATGCAGGCAAAACAAAAGAAAAATATTTGCATATTGAAAACAGTAAGGACAAATAAAAAATATTGTTAAAATTTGTTTCTTTAACATAGACATTTTTCAGTGGGTTTTTTTCTTTCAAAAAATAAAACATTCAATCTTAAGGAACACAGACATATAAGAAAAAATATGATAAAAGGACAAAAATCAGGGAAATGTGGAAGAGAATGAATATATTCTCTTTTAACATATTTAATGTTACCATAGTTGTATCTGTGAAACAGAAGCATTTTAATTCAACAGTGAGTACATTTTACTTCAAAACCGTGTATCACATTTTAAACAGTAAAATACAAATAGTTAAAAATATAACACGATTCAACAACTGACCCAGAGCCCTCTGATTGCCTGTTTTCTCCAACAGCATGACTCTTGACGTGTTAGTAAGATTATCCAGGAGTAGCAGCATTGTGTCACTGAGCAAAGGGCGAGGAACTGAAGATCCATTCTGATGACAAGTTTATTTTAGAAAAGAAAAGTACAGTTCAAAATCGGAGGCAAGAATTGCAGACCATATAGGATGAAGGTGGGAGAAAGTTGGCTTTGCCGTGCTCAGGTCTTCAGAGGCCTTTGACCTGCCGGAAGCTGTCACTTTTCAGGTGTCGTGGGGAGATGACCACAGCCCATCAGTGACGGGCAGCACCCCCCAGGATGATGCGCCCCACACGCGAAGTGCAGGTGAGTATTTAACATACTTTGAGCTGTAAGAATCACTCCTAAAATGGCACTTAATACGACTAATAGTAGACAGTGCAGAAGCCAGCTCTTTATTTGTTTGCTATGAATGAATGACTTTAAACCAGGCTTGTTGAACAGTTCAGTGTAGCTGACAGTTGAAGGTTTAACATGAATGCAGAGCAGACCATGTTAAAATGTGGCATTGTCCCAAAGTACAGAATAACTAAGACATCCTACGTTTAGCAGCACCTTTTTGTAACAGTAACTTAAGTGAGCAGTAGAGAAAGAGCAGAGGAAAGGCTGAAATGGGTGTGACGAGAAAGACACAGAACTATTCAGAACTTTTCCAGCATTTTCTAGGTTAACTACAACAATCATGATTCTACGACTGAGTCTGTTAAGATTAAACCTTTGCTGTGTGAAAAGACTAGAATTTTACATTCCACAAGTCAGTGAATATCCCATGGTCCTTGGGATTATTTCTTCAGTTACATATTTAGTCCACACCGTTTACACATATGCCCACTCTACAGTTTTCACATAAGCGTGCTCTTTTGTCAAATCCTGCAACAGAGATTTTGCGGAATACTAGTGTGGACTAGTGTGTTTCACAGTAAAGTGAGAAACGAAGAGTCCAGGTCAGAATTTAAAAAATGGAATCCGTTAGCGTGATTCTTTGAAAGGGATTAATGGTAGCAGCAAAGAAGATACATACCAGTTAGACTTCAAGAATCTACACATTCCAAAGCCATGAACTGGGATGAAACTTCGTATAGGAAGGGTCGGGGCTGGCGATCATTGATGTGGTACCGTGATGGACAGCTGACTGGAAGTATTTTATAAAAGTAACTTTAGCTGGAATACGGTTTCCCAATGATATGAATACTTTACATCAAAAATTTATATATTATGCCTACTGTTCTTATATTCAATAAATAAAGGTATGTCAACAGCACAGAGCTAATTAACAAAGAGATTGAGGGAAATGGTTCCTATATTAGCTGATAAAACACTATATATGTTAACTCATTTTTACAACTCTGAGTTTTCTTTGGGGGAGAGGAATAAGGAGTTAGATGTGAAACAGTTGTACTTATAAAGGTCCAAGATATATTTGGCAAGAACCTGGAATAATCAAAGAAGCGAAACAAAAAATAGCTTAACTTATTTAACAAAATAATAATTTTTAATGTCCAGGTCTGAAGGTAGGCAGTCAAGACAGGCGTTTTCCAGGGACAGACTTCAAGTGCCAGGTACTTGCACGCCTAATACTGTCTGTCTTACCTGTCCAGTCTTAACTGGACAGACGGACACTTAGGAGAGACAGGGAAGATTTCAGGCTCAGCGTGACCACCACCTCGTGGGCCGCGTTGGGCGGTGTCCCTGACGCAGGGCCACAGCATCTTCTGGCTTCCCCTCAGAGCAGGTGTCCGACGCAGGAAAACCTCAACGTCTCGTTCACTTCAAGTCACCTCCTTTTGCCCTGATTTCTTGCGAAGAGCAGAAGCTTTGGTTATAAGAAGCACTTCGAGGTTGTGACGGACAGTGAAAGTGTCGGAGCGGGGGGAACACAACGGGCACGGCGGGCGAGGCGAGGTGAGGAGACGGGGGGAGTCGGGAGCATCTGTGTAAACACTTCTCTCTCAGACGAGAGGTCGTCGGACATTTCCAGTGAAACACTCATCACAGTGGCCCGTGTGGCCCCTCTCCAGGAGCCAGCGGGGGGCAGCTCTCCGGGGCGTTCCCTCTGGCGGCACGTGCCCTCCTGGCCCCTGACGGCTCGGCGGGCCACAGCGGCGCAGCGAGCCGCGGAGCCAGGCAGGTGGACGCCTCGGCCCTGGGCTGGCCGCCGCTGTCGTCAGCGTGCACGCCCGTCACTGGCTCGTGTGCACGCGGCTCCCAGACTCCAGTGCCGTGACCTGAGACACTGGCTACGCAGGACGTGGCCGTCACAATCAGTGTGAACGGCACGGAGCGGAGCAACCCTTGGAGTTTGGTTATATTTCCCAGAATTTATGGTCACAATGATTAACGTACAGGGATGGAGGAACATTCAGAAATCAAACCTTTTCAAGTCAGGCAGTCACACGTATTTACAGTATGTACAGACTCTCTACTAGAACGGGAATAGGTGTCTAGACGACGTTATTACAAATTTCCTGAAGGTGGGCATTTCTAGTCCCTGTAATTCAGAAAGCAAATCTGCTGGCTTGGCATTAAGACTCTGAAATAGTGCGATCAAACTGATATATATATATATATATATATATATATATATATATATGTGTATATATATATATAATATATAATTATCATAAGAAGGTGTTTGCAGAAATAACATTTACAAACTGTCTATACAGTACACAATGCTAGTACATGGAAAATAGATTCTGACTTTGATCCCCTTGGTGTAAGGCAAGACAGTCTGTCCCCAAGTTTAGTCAGCCAGAGGTACAAGCGAGAAACAGTGGTCCACGGGTGACTATGCAAATCAGGCGCCTACATATTAAAGGTCGGGAGAACCAAGCGATTCCACTTTTTACGTGGGCTGCTTGATTCCGGCCCGCTGGATACATCAACCACATTTTCGAAAACATCAGCTATGCTCCTTAAAATCCTGATGCCACCTGGATGGCAACAGATGATATTGTTCAAGTGGCAGCGATCCTAGACAGTTTTCAAAGTGCAGTAGACAACCAGAGGACTGCAGCCTTTCCAGGCGAATTTATATAGCACTTACTTACAAAAGGAAAATAAAAAGTATATTAATACTCTATTTCATGCTGTTGCTATCCAAGCAACAGCAGTACAAAATATACAAGACAGATCACATATGATTGCAATGTAGACCCCCAAGATGGAGTTGGAGGGTGGTGGTATACAAGACTTAAAAATAAGAAAACCAACGACACAAAAGGGCAAAAGTCACTGGCGGATGTAAACCTCCCTGTTCCAGTCCCCAGCCTCATGCCGTCTCCTGGACACCCCTTCCCCCTCCCTGTCACAGCAGCGATCCTTGGATTTGTGGCGGCTCCACTGTTTGTCGTCCTCGTTGTGGTCCTGCTCTCGATCCGGGTCCCGGGAGCGGTGCCGAGACTCCCTGTGTCTGCGCTCCCCACCCCCGTGGGGTTCCTCTCTGTGGCTGTGATCTCGGTGCGGGGCGCAGTGGTCTGCATGTTCGTGGGAATAATCTTCCTTGGGCTCCGCGTATGCGGAGTCGCGACTCTCCTGCGTTTCTGAATCCAAGGTCTCCTGCCTGGAGAGGCCGCGGCTGGCCCCGCTGCGATGGCTGTGGTGCTGGGGTTTCTTGACTGGGTCTGGGCAGGGTTCTTCTTCAGCTTGGGAAGCAGAATGGGTGGCGGCCGCGCGATCCGTCCTCGGATCCCCTTGAGACGCCTGGAGGCGAAGGAGCAAACACAGGCCTCAGCCAAGGTCGGGGTCTGGGGAACTGTCACAAAAGCAAGTGTCTAGTCCCTTTTCACAGTCTCTAAAGTGCCGAAATGAAATCCGACCTAGCTCGGGTGCTTAATGTGTGCGATAACATCCAGTAGCATTTATATTGTATTGGACTTTCTGTTAATTTGTAAGCGCCTAGAACAGCACAGAGTAACTTTACAAATTTTTTTAAAATGAATGAATGAAGGAGGGAGGGCATTCTTTTATATGTTCTCTTGTGGTTCAAATATAGGTCCCTGAGATCTGTCTACACATGGGTGGACACTTAACCACCTCTGCTCGGATACAGGTGGGAAGATTAAAAATTCTTAGGATGTTGGCTTTAAGGGAAAAAAATGATAAAATGTCAAATGCTTAAGTGGCACTTACTGAGAGACCAGCAGTGTTATGAGACTGTCACGTATACTGACTGATTAAATACAACAACCCTGTAAGCCAATCTCATGAGAAAAGTCACGTGACAGCCCCACAAGGTAGGGTCGTTAGTATTCCTGAGGCAAAGGGCAGGTAAGGATTTTATCCAAGATTAAAGCCCTGGGAAGGGGTGGAGAGGAGAGGGAATTGAACCCAGGTAGTCTGAGTCCACAGTCTGTGCTGCCGGCCACATAGAAAGTTCCTCTATGCTGGCCCGAACAGAATATGGGGAGAGCGGATTTTACGGTTTATAATACAGTAAGTCCCCTACCTACGGACCTTCAGGTTGTGAACTTCCAAAAGATGCAAACATAGCTTTGCGTGTCAAATCACTAAGTTAGATCATGTGTCTGGCGTACGTTGTCAGGTGCGTGCATCCTCTGCCAGTGGTTGTGCTTTTGTGTTCTTTACCGTATAGGGTACGGTGGTACCGTATCTTTATTTCAAGCTCAGGATGGTCGGAAGCGAGCGTAAAAGCAGTGGTGACCTAGCGGGTACGACTGTCCTTTTTCAAGGGACTGTACTGTAAGGTTAAAAATGTTTTATGTTTTGTTTGTTTCTTCTGTATTATGTGTGTGCAAAGTATAATAAACCTGTCACGGTACAGTACTATATAGCCGATTGTGTTAGTGGGCAGCCTAGGCTAACTGTGCTGGACTTACGACTGCCTTCTCGGAACTCGTTGGTATATGGGGGACTTACGGTACTTCATAGGATGCTGTTTACACTCCTCTTATAGGCGCACAGCTCACGCTGGAGACACTTAAGGTACTCGGTGTTCCATCTCATTCTGGACAGGGCTGCTCGACTGGAACGAGCACCGCCCCGGAGCCCTGGACCCCAGTGGCGCAAGCGCTGCTCACCTGTGAGCTGGGGGCCAGAGTGGGGCTGATGGGCAGGGTCGAGGTGGCCAAGGTCCGGCTGAGGAGCGGGTCGGGGCCACTGCTGCAGGGCGGGTGGGCGGCCTTCCAGTAGGCCTCCAGGTAGTCGGCGAGGTGCTCGCAGGCGTCCTCGAGCTGGTTCTCGTCCAGAATCACATCGAACAGCTCCTGCAGGAGCAGACAGTGCAGACGGCGTGCTTACGGCGGCCAGGGTACCCCGGGCGCCTTGCCCGTGCTGCCCCCGGGCCTCCCACACGCCAGGAGCACGAAGGGCTCCTCTCTTCGTAGGGGCTGACCACCCGCTATGGCCTCACCGCTTCGCTGTGTGAGTGACCAGGAGTGACCAGGTGTGATAACAGTTGTTAGGGGCACCAGAGGAAAGTTGCCCGTAGTGAAAAAAAGGAATTGATCCTATGTTAGGGGCGAGATGTACAAAAGAAAATGAGAATACAAGCCAGAGACTATGAAAAGCTGAACCTTGGAAACGACTGAGGCGAGGTGAGGATGTGAGGAAGCCGAAGCCACTGACTGGATGTGGCCCAGACTTCAGAGTAGTTCAGAGTTCTTACAAGTGTAATGTGCTCCCGGCAATTAGAAGTGGGTCTGAGCCCAGTTTTTAAGGCTTCTGATATACCTTCATTTAAAACAACAAAGCCAGAACAAAAGCCGGAAGATACAGGCCAAAGCGTGGTACGCAGAGCAGGGGATTCGCGGTAGGATGTGTTCAGGTGTCAGAATCTGGTGACTGAGTGCTGTAGAAATGGTCTCAGATCAATTTCTTAGACGGTAATGAAGAGCCAGCAACTCGCTCCCTGAGTGAAGTGAATCATAAACCAACCCCAAACAGCCATCTTTTCAACCAAAGTTTTGAAACAATGATTGTGTTTCATTGAAGATGACTACTGAGGTGTTAGATTAACAAAGCGAGGTCACCACGGAACACACCGTAGCTGTTCGTAAGCGACGACCATGACCTAGACAAGTGCTCGTGGTAAGAGGTAGACCGTTCCCGTCTTTGGGAGGAAACCCACCGTTAATGGGCAGGGTTCTCTCCCTGGACAGGCCTTTACCTGTCTGTCTGGTTTTTGTTAACAGAATGCGGGTGTGAAGCCTTCAAGTGGATTGTACTGCATAGAGAGACTTACCGGAGGGCACTGAGCCAGCTTATCTGCTGCTACCATCTGAACATTGAGGTGTTTAGCTTGAGATTTCCCTCGAGATTTTATTAACCTTTGTAAAACCTGTAAAAGACGAGATTCTTCAACTGGGGTATATCTGCACTCAGGTAGACAAGGTTCATTATTCGTTCCTTTTTCCGGTGTCCTCTGCATGCAGCACTGATGGTGTACAAATAGATTACGCTAGAAAACAGAATCTTCAAGATGATCAGCAAAATTAACACGTTGACATAAACCTCAGTCGCAAGCTTCATAAGTCACCAGCGTGGAGATTTTTCTGAGTCTTTTTCAAGGCTAGCAGTTCTCAAACTCTGTCTTATGATTTATGTTTTTAAAAACTGTGGAGAACTCCCAAGAGCTTTTTATGTGAACTGTAAATAGTTATATATTAGAAACTAAAACTGAAAAATTCATTTAAGAATGATCAGTAACCTCTTATATGTTAACATGTCATTCATTCTGATAAAATAGCTAAGTTATTTGCAGGTTTCTCTACCGCCTGGCTCCACAGAAGACAGCTGCTGTGCCCTGCTTCTACAGTGAATCTGCTACGGTGTATTGTTTGAAACAGGCAAAGAAAATCCAGTCCCCTATAGATACGTAATTAGTAGCCTTTTCAGATAATTGTGGATATCTTTCTTTGATACTACAGTAAACAAGTGGTAGCTTTTTAAAGACTAGCTCTCATGTGGAATCTAAATCCCTATCACTCAATGAACTTTTCTTACTCTGTTACGTTAAATCCCATTGATCTGTCCTGAAATCTGAAGGACATGTCAGTTGTTCTTTCCAATAAAAATGGTGTTTCAGGATGAAAGTGGCTACTTCGGTTTATGACTTGAAGAATCACACTGGTACCTGCCCTCAAGAAAACGGACTTCGAGTACGTAGCTAAAGAACTTGAAGTGTACTTCCTTAAAAAGGTTTGTACTGAAGAGTCAAAATTTAAGCATTTTTACTACTTCATCAGGACATTCTTAAGTGAAACTGGGTTGTGTGGCTTTTTTTTTTTAACCTGGGAGTGCATGGGGAGGGAGAATGCCACAGCTGCTACTGCTACTGTGGTCTTGATTCCTGCTTAGACATCACCCAGTGCTGCTTCTGCACTGTTGGTGCAAAGGTCAAACCAGTGAAAAAGGGGGAGGATGTCTGAGTATTAGATTATGCTTAGATAATAATCATGGAAATGGTTCTGACCTCATGGACCCTCTGAAAAGTGTTTCAGAACCTCCCCCACCAGGAATCCATGGACCACACTTTGGGAATCACTCACTCTCCTAAGCCATGAAACTCATCATCATGCTTATGTGAATCTTAACAATTCTCGGCTACCACGTCTCTCTTCAGACCCTTTGTGATGGATAAAGACACAGCCCGTTTCTAATTGGAAAGCAGACTATAAATACACATTTTAGTAAAGTTCCATTACAGAGCAAACAGTAACCACCCTACTTACCTTAGGAGAAGAAATCTTGACATATACTATAATAGGGGCCAGAGAGGTTTTACTAAGCTGGGCTGGATGATTAATAGTATCTGCATCAAGGACCACCAGTTGCAATGTTCTTGCAAGTTCAAAAATCCTTTCAATTTCACTCTGAACTTCCGCTGTAAAAGGTTAAGCAGAGTTTGATTACTTTACAGCATTTTTAAACCAGATTGAGACAAAGTAAAACGGTACTCAGGTAGGTGAGGTTGCTGTCTACAGGCAAGAGAGCTGGTAACAGGTGTCCTTTGGAGAGAGCCGTTCCTTCACAATACCTCTAGCATTTAGGGAATTCCTCTCTCAACCAGACATCTAACACAATGTCTGTGAGAGTCAACGTTTCTGGCTCTCTGTGCTGACATGTTTTTGGTGCTATAAAACTTCACTCCATGAAGTCATTTCATTAAAATGTTGTGAAATAGAAACTTGAAGAGAGGTCTTCCCTGTGTGTGTTTCTGACCGCTCTAGCCTAGCACCCATCACCAGCCTTCCTGTCACTGCACGGGCTTCTCAGTGTTTATATGCCACCTATTGGTACGCCTTCTGGAGATGATTGAGAGTCTAGAGATGCTTATTACCAAGCTGAACTACAACAGAAAACAGGAGAGATTTTCAGAGTGTTACAACAAACTTCTCCAAAAACACACTTCTCATATTTTCCACCAACAAAAGAACAGCCCTGTAACATTCATGCTTTAAAAGGGCGGTTATATATTAGAGGCAGCATTACAGGAATAAAAACTATATAAACATCCAAAAAATCTACTTGAATGCGAAAGAAATTTCATGCATTTCATCTGCTTCTCCATTTCTGTACTACTGCTGTCCAGTACGGTAGCCACAACCCTCATATGCCTGTGGAGCTCCTGAAGTGTAGCACATGTGAATGAATGAATAAATTTTTGAAATTTAATTTAAATAAGAGTTAAATAGCCAGAAAGTACTTTACTAGACATCATAGGTCTATAAAGCATAATATGTATTTTACAGTGCCCACCGCAGTCATGAAGGGCCAATTCCATGAGATTCCTAGACCTACAGAATACCATTTAATTCCTCTTATGCATTTGCATCCATGCAGAAGATTCCTGGAGATAATTTTAACTAGTACATTATTCCAGAAAAGGCAGGTCACTGTTGTCTGCCTCACAATATGTTATGACTAGAGGCCTTTCATTTAACCTGGGTGTCTTTAAAATCAGGGCCCAAACCACTTGAGATACTGGCTTTAAAATAATATTTGGTCACATTACCACCCATGACATAGTTTTGCTAAAAGAAAAAAACAAACCCGTTAAGCTTCTGGATCTATCAGTTTATAAGAAATACAGGGAACAGACATATATAAACTACGCCCGTGTAATGCAGTTAGCAAAATTCACTCTCTGAAAACCCTGCAGAATAAGTGACCCAGTTTCTTCAAAAAACAAGGAAATAAAAAAGATCTATGGAAAACGAGATTAAGAGATTTAAGAACCTAGGAAACATTCGCAATGTATGGACTTTATGTGGATTCTGATTCAAACAAATAGTAATTGATACATTTATAATGCATAAAGTAAGTGGATAAAATGTTTATATATAAATGCTTATATATATAAGATGTATGTGTGTATATGTATAATACATGACAGCTGGGAAATGATACATGGCTGAGTGGCAACCTGATATTTGGGATGTACTGTTAAGGTCTGGCGATAATGGTGATATGGTTTAAATAAAAAGAGTCTTCAATGTTTAGAAATACATACTGAAACATTTACAGATAACAACATATGATGTCTGGGATTAGCTTCAAAATAATTCAGAGACAGGAGAGGAAGGCAGGGGGAAGACTGGAAATGAAACAAGATTGGCCATGAATAGATGATAGTTGAAACTAGGTGATGAGTACCTGAGGTTTCCTATAACATTCTTTACTTCATATATATATTGGAATTTCCTTAAACAACAGTTTTAGAAATCATTCATAATAGTGTTCTAAAACATTACTGACACTCTTATTTGCTCTCTTTTCTCATGCTCCTTAAAATTTTTTTCCAATATAACCTTGCTTCTCTGTGCCCTAT